GTAACTATTCCCTATGGTTAGATATTTAAGCAACAGTCAGTTTTTTACAATCATAACATTTCTATAAATATGTTTGTGCAGAAGCTTTTTGTATGTTTGAGCTTATTTTCTTTCAATGCAGTTTCCCAAAGTGGAAGTTTGATTTAGTCCCAGAGTTTACTAATTTTTGATGCCTTTTCAACCATGTGTGATATTTATAAACAATCTGTTTTAGTCATGGCTTTATAATGTTCCCAAATTGCAGAGTAAACTAATTAAGCTTTAAAAAACTAGAATATTGTGCTAAGGGAACTCTAGCTTGCTCACTGGTAATCTGTAACTCCATCCTACAAAAGTAATTTTCTAATATTTCTGGTTTGAGTTTATTATAATTAATGCCTATGAGTCAACATTTACATTTTTGAAGATTTAGCTTGTTTTTTTCTCTGTTTAGGAAGTTCAGACTGATGGTGACAACCAGTTTTCATCACAACATAAAACAGTTTCTGTGAACTATACTGATATTCTGAGGAATTCCTTCAGTACTAGTCCTGGAGTTCCATGTAGCCTGCCCCAAACTGACAAACCAGTTGTTCCAATGTTTCAGCCACTGGGTCTTGCTAATGGGATTTTGCCACAAGAAGTTCCTAAGGAACCAGACCTACTGAAGTGTTTCCAAACATATATGAATCTGTTGCATTCTCATCCGGACAGTCAGGCACTCCAAAGCCCCACTTTGTCACAGCCAGCTTTCTTGGCCACTAATGAAGAAAAATGTGCCAAAGAACAAACTGGAGAGGTCACAAGCGAAGGAAAGGATCTAAACATACATGTGCGAGATTCAAGAATAAAGGATGTCCAGAAGGAAAAAAATGCAAACCAGAGTGCTGAAAAAGTTAGAACTATAAAGTATCTATTGGGAGAGCTGAAGGCCCTGGTAGCAGAACAAGGTAGATAAGTATTTTCTTTGTAATTTTCTGTAGCATAGTGTTAATGCTATATAAGCAGTGTCATGTTATTTAGTCATCATTTAAATTTAGAATAATCGACATGGAATTTGTGCTATTTTTCCAAGAAATATGTCGTCTTGAGCTAATAAGAAAATGAGTCCTGCCAGTTTTATTCTTATTTGTTTGGGTTTGATCCCTCTTATCTCCTGTGGATTTGAAATGTACTAGGGAATATCAAACAGTCTTACTTGCAAGTGTATTAATTCTACTTGATCCAAAGGGATCTTGAAAAGATTCAGCCAAAGAGAATTTGTAGAGATAAACTTTGAAGGCTTTAGAGGATCCCTAAAGATGATTAACTCTCTTGACTAGACTGATAATTTTTTCTATTTTAAAAAAATGCAGAGATTTTCTTCCCATGATTTCTTTAATAACCAACTGTTATAATGTTTAACAAATCTCACTTTGAGAAATAACCCAAATCTTTTTATGCCCTTTTTAGTTTACTTTTGGGATTTTTTTTTAAATTAAATCAAGAAAAATGTCTTATGTGGAGTTATAAGATATTTGAGCTAGGTTGTATTCATTTGTTTGCATTACATGTATATATTTTAAATATGTAATGCCTTTTGCTTGGAGTGAATTACAGGTTTGTTGTCTTAGAAAACACAGTAAATGATTACAGAACACTGATTGAATACTTAATATTTGCAGACTGACAAACTAAATAGCAAATCTTAAAATGTATCTGTAGGAATATAGCATTTTATTTTATTTTAATATATATTTTAATATATTAAAATATCTATTGTAAGATCTTCAACTTATTATGATTCTCTTAACCAAATACTCATGGTAACAATGATAATAATAAAGATAGTAACAATATTAGCTGTCATTTATTGAACATGTAACATGTGCCTGGCACTGTGTCGCGTTTGATGTGCGTTATCTCATTTAATCCTCAGCAATCCTATAAGGTACTGTGATTGCTCCCATTTTATAATTGAGGAAACAGGCTTGAAGAACAGGAGCTCATTTAATCCTCTCAGCAACCCTGTGAAGTACTGTTGTTATCTCATTCAACCATGAAGAGATCTAGGCTTCAAGAGTTGAGTAATGTGACTCAAGTTATATTGCTAGAACATGGCGGAACCCAGGTCTGTGCCTCCAGTGCTTATGAGTGAAACCACTGTACAAAGGATTGGTAGAGCACCGCTTAGCCATTGGCATGGTTGTTTACTGTGTGCATGTACTTTTCATCAGGGTGTTAAAACACCTGTGGGATTGAGTTATTTTTGTAACTTAGAATATACTTCCTACCTCCTATCAGACAGTTACTATTATGATTATTAAATGTTTTCAGTCTATAGAAAATTTGAATGGAAATGAAGGAACAAAAATAAAAGGACAAAAAAATCTAAAACCACCTCCTACCTGTGCCTGCCATCTCCAAAACCAACCACTTCCCCCACCTGATAACAGAAATGGTGCTGCTTTTGATGCCACATCAAATGAGGTGTGGCTGGTTGTGTTAAGTCTCCCTTATAAAATTAAATAATGAAACTTATCTCAGTAGAATCTCCTTCAATATTTTGCCAAATTGAATCACCTAAAGTGAATTATTTGCTTCTGCCAGGATCAAAGGTTGTGTTGTAAAAGTGAATACTGTAATATCAATTACAGGAAACCCATTAGTAATTATAGGAGCCCAGTAGTCCTTTGGTAATGTGAACTAGGAAATAGATGTAAACTATCTTCCTTCCTATTGGACTCTTCAACTGAAAAAAATCACTAGTAATTCTGCGATTTAAGATTACTCTTTAGTTTACTGAATTTAATTTTTTTAGAGTTTTTCTGTATAATCAAATGCAGGTAGCAGGAGAGAGGAAAGTAGGGTTAGAGTATTAAATTTATAAATACTTGAGTTTATTTATAGCCAGTACGTATATATCTGAATTTTTTTTTTTAGTAATACACATGAATAATCTTATCCAAAAATAATTTACAGTATTGTTTTTACTCATATTTTCTGCCTCTTATAGAGGATTCAGAAGTTCAGAGATTGATCACAGAATTGGAGGCATGTATATCTCTGCTTCCAGCAATAAGTGGAAACACAAATACTCAAGTTGAAATAGCACTGGCCATGCAACCACTAAGAAGTGAAAATGCTCAGTTACGCAGGTAAGACTTGCTCGGAATATTTTGTCTCTATGCAGAAATGTCCCATAGCTAGAATAAAGGTGCCAAATGAGATTATCTAGGGCTCCATAAGAAAAATAGATCTACTGTCTTATTGTTTCTACTTTTTCTTTCCCATTTTCCAAACACTACTAGCATTCTCTAACTTCTATTACCTCTGCCCACTCGTATATATTTTCTCCCACTTCTTTTATCTCTGTTGTTGGTTGGTAATATATAGAGAGGAAAATGAAGTACCTAAGGGTATTTATCAGGTTAGTGTCGGCTATCGTCCAGTAACAAACTCCAAAATCTGTGGTATAACACAGCAAAGACCAACATGGTCATCAGAGGCTCTCTTTCATCCTATAGCTCAGGATTTAGGTTCCCTCCATTATGAGGCCACTGTCTCTAAGTGTTTTCCAGGAAAAGGGGAACATGGATATGGCACACAAACTTACATGGCCCAGCCCAGAAGTGACAATCTCACTTCTACTTACATTTTGTAGGCTCAAACAAGGCATGTGGCCCTGCCTAATGTAAACATCTGTGACATGAATTTTTCCCATCCTTCCCATACATCTCACAAGGAAAGGAGAACCTGATATGGGTGAGCATCAGTAGCCCCATCACACTCAGACATAGGAAAAAATTCTTCAGTTCTTAGATACTTTTTCTTTTGACCACCTTAACTTATACTAGAATTATAGTCTTAATCTGTTTAGGAAAGATGTTAGCCAGGGATCTAATCTTGAAATATAGAAATCACTTACCTATTATCAATAACATCTTAACTTTGAATGTTTCAGTGATGACCACCAAGGCCACCACCCTGGTGTCTATTTATCAGTATACTTTGCAGAGAATTGGAGGACATTTTCAGGTGCTTCTGTAGCACTACAGGGTGAGTGTGCCCTGAGAGGGCATTACAGTTGCATGAGCTATAGACACTGTACCAGATAGGACCTCAAGGACCTGTACAAACATTGTCAAGAAACTGGAAAGCAATAAAATAGGATTCCTAGTTGGAGAGTAGCTTAAGTTCATGGATCTAGAGCCTGCAAAGGCACAATACCTAGTGAGATATACTTGCTTAGGATTATTTCTCTATCAACCGTTAGTCTCTAGATACTATGATATGTGATGGGGTTGCTGGGTTTAAATTCGAATAATATTGTCTTTCGTCCTGGCCTAAGTGATTTTATGTAATAATATTGCTTTTTTTTAAATCAAAACCAACTATAAATAATAATAATGGTAATAACCAATGCTACTTCTAACATGTATTGGATGTTTCTTTTGTGCTAAGCTATTAACAACTTTCATATGTGTCACCTCTTTAAATTCTCACAACAACCCTGTGAGGTAGGCATTATTGTTATTCTCCTTTACATATGAGGAAACCAAGGCACAGAGAGGTTAGTAACTTGCCCACAGTCACAAACCTAAGAAGTTAACAAATAAGACTCAAACCTGGGCACTTGGATTTTAGAGCACAATGATCTTGATTTCTGTACTTCTACATTGGCTCTGGGAAATAGAGACTAACTTATTTATACTTCAGTATTGAGGTGTATTTGGGGAACAAAAGAATATACTGTAAACCATTTAAAGTAAACATGCATGTTTTTAAATGTATAACTATCAAATAATTGATTTCTTCAATAAACTACGAGAACTTAGCCTCAGAATATTATCTATTTTAACATTGTGACCATGGGAAATATCAATAGTTATTATTTATTTCTATTCCTCAGAATACTTTAGAGTTGTTTTAAGAGCTAATTTATAAACCCCTTAAGAAAATTATGCTTATTACTTAATTGGTTGTTTGTTTTTAATTTTTTTAAAAGGCATTAGTTAGATATCTTAAACTAATTCTTCAGACTTGAGCACCAGAGCTTCTTGGCTCTGTGGCCTTAGAGGACAGAGGTTATCTAGCATGCTGTTACCATTGTTTACTTGACCTTCTAAAAATGAAATTATTGGAAAATGAAGAATTTCTCAGATTTATGCTCTGTTTAGCAGAATGAGGTTTCCAGCAGAAGTGTGGGAATTTTTGTGTCTCTTTGGAAATCTTAACTTAGAATAATCCGTAATCTCCATGACAAATGAAAGTTGGAATGCAGCGTTTTTCAGCACTTCCAAACAAAAAACTTGTTTTTTCTGTTTGGACATTTAGAAACTACATTTCTCTTTAGCCAGAAAGCAATCTTTCAGGACTTTCTTGGAGTTTATTGCCATCTTGTGGCTTTCAAAAAAAATAGCTAGGTTCATTATTTCTATGGCATTTGGGCATTTTTGGCATTTTTGGCTGGACAGTTTTTGTATGGAACCCCTGACACAGTGCTCAACATTTAGCCTTCCTGGTCCCTACCCACAGTGTCTGTAATGCCCCATTCACTGTGACCACCAAAAGCTCTGGAACATTCTTCAATTCCCTGGAAGGTTGAAGGGTACTGCTTTAGTTAGGAGCCATCGAGCTAGAGAGCGCCTTAATATTTATAGGGCAAGTTGAAATTCATGACCACTTCCTGATTTTAGTCTCAAATACGAGGCCATTAAGTACCCACGCAGAACAAAAAAGTGAAATGGGAGTGAGTGGGAGAAGCCAGGGGTGACATTCAATCTTTTGGTTTGATCATTTGACAGATGGTAACATAATTCTTCCAGGCAGAAGCTACTAGAGGAAGAATAGATTGTTTTTTATTTCATTTTATTTTCGAGGTAGAAGAGAGCCAGTGAGTTAAATGTTAGACATGCTGAATGTGTCTTTTAGACCATCTGCTACAAGTTGAGCACAGGACCATGGTCCAGGATAGAAATACAGACGTGAGAGTTATGCACTGAACACATTTTTATTGAGCTTTTACTATGGATCTGGCACTTTTGGGCACTGGAGACAGTGGTGGTGACAAGCAAGTGATTTATTTTCAGTGTAGAAGTGGTAAATTCACCCAGAAGGTATAGAGTGCAAACACAGCCAAGGGTGCATTGCTGGGGAATAACGAACGGCGATGAGGGAAAGAACGGGAAGAGGAGCCTGTGAAAGAAACCCGAGAAGGAACAACTAGCGAAGTCGTAGAAAAACTAAGAGGGATGTTACAGAAGCTATGGGAAGAAATAAGTTTGCAGAAGGAGAGATCTTTGCATAACATTCAAAGTATATAAACTGACAAAAGGGACAAAATGATGTTCAAGAATAAACATCACAAGATGAGTCGCCCAAAGAAAACCCAGGAAAACTTGAAACGGTATGCAATAGTCTCCAGGAAGTTATAGTCTTTAAAGGCAGAAACAGAGAGAGAGAAAATGCTTAAAGAAGATAAAACAGTAAAAAGAGAAGAAACGAATTAGATAAGCTCAGAAAAATAAAAGAGAAAAGCGTAAAATATTACAAAAATGAAAGCCCCAGTAGAAACAACAACAAAAAATTAGCAAACATGAAGTGTCAGGGATGTTATATTTCATAAGAACCTAAGCAATATGAAGGCTGAATTTGTTTGTTTGTGTTTTCGCTTTTGCTTTCCTTCCCCTAAATAATCTTTGTTTCAGTTGTTACTAAATTCATTTAGTGTCTCTTCCAAGCCTTAGCTTACTTCCCTTCCCAAACCCTTTTTTAAATAATTTATTAATTTATTTTTATTGTAGTAAAATATATATGACTTTTTAACCATATGTCAGTATACATTTCAGTGATATTAAGTATGAATATATTCACAATGCTGTGTTCCTATAACCACTGTCTATATCCAAAACTTTTTCATCCCTCTGTAAACTCTGTACCTATTAAAGAGTAAATACCTTTCTCCCTTCCCCCGCAGGCCCTAGTAACCTCTATTCCCCTTTCTGTCTCTATGAATTTGAGAAGGCTGAATTTTTGTCTCTTTTGTTTGTTGCTGCATTTCTAGTGCTGAGAATTGTTCCTAGCACTCATTCTAATATTTGTTAAGCAATTGAATGTGTGGTGGATAAGTTTTAAGAAATGATACAAAACAAAGTAGAAAAAGAATAATCTAAAAATTATTATAAAGAAGATGAGACATATGGAAGAGAAACAAAAGAATGCAAAATTGGCATAATTAATGTTCCTGAAAAAGAGAACAGAACAAATGGATTAAAGACAACATTAAAATATATATAAATAAAAGGAAATTTACTAATATAAAGATATGTGTCCAGAAAATAGGGCATAGAGGATCCCCAAAAAACAATCAAAATGATTAACACCAAGACATATGCTGATAAAGTTATTACACCTTCAGGACAAAATAAAATTAACTTTTATAAACACTCAAAAGAAAAAAGCAAAATATGTATAGAGAGAAAAATACTGGGCTGGCCTCAGCTTTTTCACAGCTATAGTCATTGCCAAAAGATGATAGAACAGGGCCAGCCGAATGGCTCAGTTGTTTAAGAGCTCGCTCAAGAATGTGAGCAACAGGGGTTCGATTCCTGGCCCGAGCTGAGCTACCGCCACTGAGCTGCCAACAGGTGGCAGGATGGCTCAGTTTAAAAAAAGCAAAAAAAAAAAAAAGCAAGAAAGCTGTATAAAGATCATAGAATATAATTTACAAAGTTCTAAGGGAAAGAAAGTGTGCCCCAAGAATCTCATATGTGATCCAGCTGTCTTTTAGTATAAAGGCAAGTCATATTCTCAAGTATGCAAGAACTTAGGAAATACAGTACCCTTGAAGTCTAAAAACAAACAAACAAACAAAATTGTTGAATGGAAAAGTCCAGTCAACGAAGAGATGAATTTACATAAAGGAGTGAATCAGAGATGAACATTGAATCTATGTATAGAACTAAGAATGGAAATCATAGTTACAGAATAGAATGTGTTACTAATCTTGACAATATAAATTTTATTTTCTGTATTTTAGGTTATTTAGGAATAATATTTTTTTAAAGTAGAGAAATATTTGCCTAAAGTTCATTAATGAGTTCTGGTTTCACTTGTTACTTTTCCTTCAGTTAACATCACGTAATCCTAAATTCAA